TGACGATGAGATGGAGGGGTGGTTGGGGCCGGTCCCGGGAAATGGTGCCAAGAGGAAGGAGTAGGTTTCCAGCAGAGGTGTATGGGAAGTGATGGTGGGTTTTTTGCTCAAGGCAGACAGTCTGGGCTTTGCAGAGTCCTAGGGAGCTGGGACTGTCTTGTCAGCTTCAGGCTGGGGGTGGGGAGTGGGGTGGGTTCACTCCAGCTACTCCATTTGTACAGGGACTTGTCCCTCTCCCCATCAGCCTGTCATGGATGGCTGCGGGCACCAGGCCAGGCATGGGGAGAGGGGCATCTCTAGACCTCGAGAGCCAGATGTTGTTTGCTGCTGATGCCATGGTAACCTGCCCCAGGTGCCATGGGCCGTCTTCCCAGCTCCTAAGTGGGAACTGCCTGGCCTTGGCAGCTAGGCCTGGACTTGCCTGCTTTGAGGCCAGCTCCTGTCTCTTCATCTGCAGCCAGCCGGTTCTGGGTTTGTTAGATTGGTTGGCATTATCTTGCGTCAGTGATATTTGATGTAGTAAATCCAGAAGGGGTCTGACGTGCATGACACTGGGGACAGCAGGATGGAGTATTTGAAATCGGGCCATCTTGGAAAATCCAGGACATCGCCCTTCCTGGGCCTGGTGAGGGGCCTGAGGCTGGCTGGCGGATGGAGAGACTTAGTGAAACTCCTCCCAGGAGTCATATTATGGCTTTTACAGAAGATCCTGACTTCCTGTTACCTTATTTTGGGTGAAATGAGGACCCTGGCCAGTGCTTGGCTGCCCCCAGTGTGGCCTTTTGGAAACATTGCCCAGAGAACTGGCTTTGTGGGAAGCTGTAGATTTAGCTTTCTGGAGCTTCTCTCTCTCTGCCCTGTACCTGGGTATAGAGTCACGTGGTCTCGGTTCCCTGGACCCCAGCTGATGCCAGCCTGCTGAAGTCTTAACCTGAGCCACGGGAGGGGTGACACATTTCTTCTTGACCTTCTGATATTTTCTGCTCATAAAAAAACAAACACCACCTCCTGCTTTTAAACACCCCCCCCCCAAAAACCAGATCATACAAAGCTGGAGAAGCTTTTTTCCTGATTATTTTTCCTTTTCTAGACATGGACATCGATGTATTTGAATCATGGGCTGACAGTAATTAAAAAGCACATAACTAGTCATTTTAAAATGCAGTTGTTTTACTTAATTGATTTTGCCTCCAGACCCAAAGGAAAAAAAGAGGAACGGGGGAAGGACAGGCTTAGAAGGGGAGACAGGTTTCTGCGAGTGACTGGAGGCAGCTAAGGGCCCTGCTTGAGTCTAATTGCTGCCCATGCTGCAGTTGGCTTCTGCTGATGGCTTTCTGCTCAGAGGGCTGGCGGCCAGGGCCTCATGGGAGGGGTGGCCTTGGTGTCAGCTGCACAGGGGGTATAATTCTGCTTTCGGGACAGGGTCTATTTTCCCTTACTATCTATCAGCGTAAAGTACTTCCACTGAGCACTTTGTATCAAGGTTCCATTTAGAGATACTTTATTCATATTTAATTACAGGCTGCAGCACCAATCTTTAATTACCTTTTTTATAAGCCAGCTAGGAACATTCACTAGCAATCAATTATTTTGTGTGTGTGTGTGTGTGTGTGTGTGTGTGTGTGTGTGTGTGTGTGTGTAAGCACAGGAGGGTGTGGGCGTGCGACTTGCTTCCTGATAGAGGGGAAAGCATGGCTGCAGGGGCCCTGGGGAGGTGGTGGGTGGCCAGGGGTGGGGTGGGGATCTGCCCAACAGGTTCCCTGTGTGGAGTGAGTGGTGCATTTCCCATGCCTCTCTTTGCGTCCACTGGTCAAGCTGGGGATTAGGGCAGGTCCTCACAGCTGGGCCTCGTTCAGAGTGCTGAGTTGGCACATAGGCTTGGGTGGTATCCTGAGCTCCAGACCCCCTGCCTCCCCTGGTGGGGACAGGGAATGGTGGGAGGTTCCCTTCTCAGTCCCTGGGGGTATGGTGGACCGGGCTTCCTCTTACCTGGGAGATTGAGAGATGCTTGCCTCAGCCCTTTCCTTCCTTCCCCTCTCCCCGGAGTGCTCCTGGCAGCAGTTCTTGCCACACAGCCCTAGTGATGCCATGTCACTCTTTAGTTGCAATGACTCTGCAACGTCCCTGCAATGACACTGGTTTGAAGTCTGGCTGTCCTTCTTAGGGAATGAGCCAATGTTACCAGGGAGCCATGTGGAGGCTTGGGGTGGGGAGTGGGGTCAAATGACCCCCAAGTCCCTTTGCAGTGGGCAGATGGGGTCATTCCAGCTGCCTGGGAGGAGAGGGTCTGAGTTCGCAGATCTGCCCCAGAAAGCATTCTCCTTGGTGCTCCTTCAGGAACAATCAGACGGTTTCTAAAGGCAGTTCTTGTTCATTTCATTATGTAATGGCTGGGAAATGGCTGGGAATGTTGCTGAAGTCTACCTCCCTTCTATTCCTGGATCCCTGTCCCAGCAAGAGGACACTGAGGGGAGGGGGGAGGGGAGGGAAAGGAACTGACACTTACTGAGCCTCTTGAGGGTGCTGGGCACCATGCCCATGTTTCTTTTGCCTAACCCAGATGGGGCCCGAGAACTACAGTCAGAGCCCCTTCAGTCCTGTGTGACAGAAAACAACTCAAACTGACTTAAGCAAAAAAGGGAAATATGGGGTGGGTATTCAGGCATGGCTAGATCAAGGGGCCCAACCATGGTGACCAAGATTCACTCTCTCTGTCTCTTGGCTCTGCTTTCCTCTTTGTTGCTACTCTGGGACTCCTGGTAGCTCCAAGCTTCAGGTTCAATTTTTACCTTCAAGTTCAGCAGAGAGAAAGAATCTTTTCTCCCACAGTTCAAACAAAAGTGAAATACTTGAGTCTCATTGGATCAGTTGGGTCACGTGTCCATCTCTGAACCAGTCAGCATGACCCAGGGTATTCAGGGTTCTGATTGGCCAGACTGGGGTCTCACACCCACGCTGGTGTAATAGGTGGGGTCCACCTGGGTAAATCCCATACAAGACATGTGCTTTTACATTGGAGGCCTTTAGACTAGTAGGGGTGTGGGAGTAGGAAGGTCTAGCCATTTGAAAAGGAAGAAAGAGTTGATTCGGTTCCTCTCCAAGGGAGAGAATAGTGGATTCAGTCTTTCAACAAATACGTATTTGCCACCAACTAGTTCAGGTGCTATTCTTTTTTTTTTTTTTTTTTAAGGTTTTATTTATTTGAGGGGGGGGAGAGAGAGAGAGAGGATGAGCAGGGAGAGCAGCAGAGGGAGAGGGAGAGGCAGACTCCCCACTGAGCAGGGAGCCTGATGCGGGGCTGGATCCCAGGACCCTGAGATCATGACCTGAGCCTAAGGCAGACGCTTAACTAACTGAGCCACCCAGGTGTCCCTCTGGTGCTATTCTAAGCACAGGGAATTCAGCAGCTAACAAGACAGACAAAAATCTCTGCCCATTTGAAGCTGATGTTCTAATGGGGTCTACAAGGATGGTGGTTCTTTCATTCTCCCAAGCCAAGCCCAAGTCTAGGATAAAGGGAGAGACCCAGGATGATTGACATGGGGAGAGTCTGGTCCTCAGGGAACCTCGAACCTAGGAGGGAGGGAAAAAGACAAGTATGTGGTTGGGGAAGGAGGGTGGGGGAGGTAGGCACTGGGAGGGGCACAAATAAAATACCCAGTGAAGAAGAAGGGAGACAGGGAAGCCAATCTATACCCATCTCCCGTGACAGAGAAGTGTGGGCTCCTCCCATGTTGCCTGGACCTTTGGCCTCCGAAGGATGCTGATGAATGGGATGGAGTTTAGTGAAAGCTACAAAATGATGACAGGACTGGAGGGAGTGATTTATGAGGGAGATTAGCAAGGTGCCAGTGCAGCCTAGCAAGCAGAGGGATGGGATGGTGGCCAAGGGTCATCTGACTGCTGAAGTCCAAGGGGAGGAGGGGGCTGAGGGGCAGGAGAGAGCGCCTGCTGCAGAAGCGGGGGTCAGGGGAAGCTGGGGCATGGACTGAATGGGCCTCAGCGTGAGAGCCTGGGGGATGTGAGAAGGAGGGCCATGGGACTAATCCTGCGTGTACATGTATATGTGCGTGTGTGTGTGTGTGTGTGAATGTCTGGATCTTCTAGGATTGGGAAGCTATACAGGACTTCAAGAAATGGAGGGAGTGAGAATTTCAGCCTTGGACATTTTTGCAAAAGGCTTTTGAGAGTCTCCTTCCCATCTGGTAGAATATTCGTGTCTGGACCATGTCGGTGTGATCACTCAAGTCAGAAAGACTTTTTTTCCTTCAGGAAAATTTGGTATGGCATTTCTAAGAGGGAAGGAGGGAAGGAAGAAGGGAAGAGAAGACAGAAGAGTAAGGAACACATATTCCATTTTGTAGAGAAAGGGCAAGGGATCTGCCCAAGGCCACCTTTGGGTGGCATTACAGGTGGGGACCAAAAGTGAGGCTGGGGTGTGCACCCCAGGGGTCTCTGCCAGGTGGTCAGGCCAAGGGTGGGCTGGGGGACCCGTGTTGAGCCTGCTGTTCAGGCAGGAACAAGAGATGGCTGTTGGGTTTAGAACCTCCAAACTGGGGTCCCTTGAGCTCTCCCATGTTGGTGGGTTGGAATATCTGATCCCTGTATTGGGCTGCCTGGGGCGCAGGTTCTGTTAACTCTTGATCTCATGTGCATATGTAACAGCCCCAGGGGTGCAATGGTGCATAATTAAATGAGCAGATGGTCCTCAGTTCTGAACATTCTAGACAGCACTTCTTTGGCCTTGAATCGGAGGTGCTTAGGGCACCCAGGCATGTGTATGAGGACACACCCTCCATGTGTGTTTTCTCTCTCACTCCCTCCATATGCCTGCTGTGAATCTCCATGGCAGTGAAGAGCCCAGGCAAGGCATTCGGTTGGCGTACAACTGGTAGAGCAGAAAATCTATTGGGGGACATCAGGCAGCCCTGGCCCGGCCCATCCCCTCTCACTGAACTGAGTCATCTTAATTGCTCCATTCTCTCTCCACTCTTTGACAGATTCAGGATTTGTTTGTGAGCTTTGATGACACCCCTCTGGGGGCCGCCTCCCTGGCCCAGGTCCACAAGGCGGTGCTGCGTGATGGGCGGACAGTGGCCGTGAAGGTCCAGCATCCAAAGGTTCAGGCTCAGAGCTCAAAGGACATTCTCCTGATGGAGGTGAGAGCCTGCCCCTTCCTTGGTCCTCATTTTATATTTCTCTGGAAACTAGGTGGCTTTGGTGACACTGGTTCAAGGCAGCTGGGTGGAGTGTGACCCTTTGAACAGCAGGGTGGGAGAGGAAAGCTTGAGACCATGACAAAGGAGGCATCATGACAGTGCTGTGACTAGGGGACCCATGGCTGGGTTGGTCAGTTCGTCTTTATTTGTTCCTAGGAACTATCTGGGGATGGTCTCAGAACACGATGAACAGCTGCTGGGGCCAATGAGACCTCAGGTGGATGTTGAAGAAATGAGATGAACCAAAAGTGATTTCCTTGGGGGCAGAAAAGTTACATCTTACTTTGTTAAATGATAACAAAAGGGAGCATGTGGTCAACCACGGGATGTAAAAATGACAGGATCACATAGAAATATTAACCAGATTCCATGTTTGCTTATCTCTTGTTCTGAGTGAACAAGTTTGTCTACCTAAAAATGTTCCTGGGAAAAGCCCCGGTGGAGACGGTGTCTCTGGACTTCTCTAGCTCTGTCGCTGGAGTGAGGGAGGGTGAGCTGGGCGCTGTCTGGGCGGTGGTCAGCACCTGGCCCAGGAGGGCAGGCATTTAACGTGCCAGCGTGTCCCGCCCCTTCTCTGCAGGCTGCCTCCCCCTGTTCTCTTTCCCCATTCTGGACTCTTGGTCTGTTTCCTCAGCTCACCCTGAGTAAGCTTTGCACACGCATGGAAGGTCTCTTTTGCACTAAGCACTAGGTGGGTGCTGGGGACACAGGAGTGAGGGAGCTTCATCTTCCTCCCCGGGGGGGTTTCCCTGTTTAGTGGAAGGGCAGGTCTGGACATGAACAGTCACAGTGTGGGGATGTGAGCTCTGCCAAAGGGGGTTTGCCTGGTGCCCTCAGCCCTGTCTGGTCTGTTGGGGGCGGGGCTTCGCGGAGGGCCCGGTGAGACAGCGGGGCAGGGGAAGGATAGCTGAGCCTGTGTGAAGACCCAGTCTTAGAGCAACAGGGTGGGCTTGGAGAAGAACTTGAGCTGGTTCAGGTGGTACGGCTGGGAGTGGTTGCAGATGGGGCTGGGAAGGTAAGCAGGACAACATGGAGGGCCTGATCTTCCAGGCTAAGGCATAGAACAGTATACACAGCAAATATAGATCTTCCGTGGAACTGAGCAGATCCGAGTCTCTCCTGTAGTCAGTGGGGAACCATTTAAGAATTTTAAATCGGGAATGTCGAGATCAGATGTACATTAGAAACAAAAGTCTATCGGCAGTCTGTAGGATGTACTGGAAGGCAGAAAGACTGTAGCCAGGGAGACTAATGGAGGGGCTGCTGCACTGGTCTGAGCCAAAAATAATGATGTGACCCAGGGCAGTGTAGTGGGAGTTGAAGAGGAGGGATGGGCTCGAGGGGCAGAGTCATCAGGACTTTGTGAGCAGCTTTCCCTGGGGTGGAGGCAAATACTGGTAGGAATGAATGGGAGGAGAATAAAACAAATTGTAGGTTTCCAGCTTAAATGATTAAATTTGGGTGCCTTTAACCAGTGTATCAATCAGGGTCCAGTTGGGAAGAAACAAAATTACGCTAGGTATTAACAACAGAGGGAATTTAAAAGAGAAAATGGGGCTTCCAGGGGATGGAGTTGCAGAGAGGCCAAATGGGATGGCGAGACAGTTACCAACGGCCGAAGCCACCGCCACCCTCCAGGTGGAGGGATGAGGAGAAGAGGTGGTTCTCCGGAGCCCGGGAGCTGAGGTCACCTGGTAGAGCTGGCCCAGGGCGGGCTGGTCCTTTGGGAGGTGGATCACACAGCCTCAGGGCCCATCACCTGGGAGGTGGAGCCGTGGATGCTGTTTGAGGTGGCAGGTTTCCACCTCCTTCTCTCCCGCAGTGTTCCACCAGTGTTGCCCATGGGCCAAGCCTAGATGGAAAATGCAGTTCCTTAAGAGAGCAGTGGGGTCAGGATGATCTCCGAGCTGGGTGCAACGGGTGGTAGAACCACCAGGAGAACTCAGATACTGCTGTCAGGAGATTTGGATTGGGATTGCTCTGCTGGTCTGCATTCGGGCTGCAACTACAGATGCGGGATTTAGTAGCAAGGGGCCTCATGGTAGGCAGGTGAATCTGGGGCAGTAGTTGAGGTCACTTGGAAGGATGGAGCGAAGAGAAAAGGAGAGGACAAGGGGAGGGCTGGGAGGAATACCGTCATCGAGGGGGTACGCCCAGGAAGTTAAGCTCCTGGAGGAACGGAGAAGGCATGGCCAGAGAGATTGGAGGAGAAGCAGAACTGAGCAATGCTGCTATATTCCGTGGAAATAATTTCAAGAAGAGAGATAGAGAAGAGAGCAGCTTAAAACAGCAGGCATGTGTTTTGCTCCTGAATCTGCAATCTGGGCAGGGCTTGGTGGAGAGACTCACGAGTCCCGAGTGGTGCCGGCTGGGTGGTCTCACAGAACCAGAAGATCCACTTCCAGGTGGCTCAGTCACGTGGCTGGCAGCCCAGCTGGGGCTGGGGGCAGGGCCTTGGGTCCTTCCAGGTGGCCTCTCCACAGCTGTTGGGGCTGGGTTCCAAGAGTGAGTGTCCCATGAGAATCAGGTGGAAAGCACCTGACCGTTGTATGACCTAGCCTTGGCAGGCACATAGCACTACTTTTTCCTTACTCTGCTGGTAAGAACAAGAGTCACAGAGGCTCCCTTAGTTTAAAGGGTTGGGGAATACTCTACTTCTTGATGGGGGCATGACCAGGTTCTAGAAGAGCATCAGAATGGGAGGTATTGTTGCAGCCGTTTGGGAAAAGACAGTCTGCCAGAACTACTCAGTGTTGTCAAATGGGAGATAAAATTAGGAAAGCTCGGGAAAAGGCCTCTCAGATTTGGTGATTGAGAGTCTTTGGGGTGAGCAAGGAGAATGGGATGAGGGGCTGGGGGTAAACTGAGGCCCCAGGGAGTGGAGATGGTTGTCACTCAGGTGACAGTGGGGAGGGTCCTATGGTACTTGGAACAAAGCACACGATTAGAGGCGGGGACTGGAGCAGGCTGTCACTAATGGGGAGGGTGTCCATGGAGTGGGGGGGGGGGGCGCTGAGATCCAGGAGAGAGAAGTAACTGACAGGTGTGGTCCTGGGGGAGACTCCAGGGATCAGGCTGTAAGGACCTGGGTGGAAGTATTAGCCTCGGTCAGCCTTTGTTCGGAGCCCAGAGGAAGGTGGTGAGGCTGCACACAGATGAGGGGGCAGAAGGGGATGGCAGAGGGAAAGTGGCAGCTGAGTTGTACCAGCCTGATAGCCCTATTTTTTTCACTGCAGTAGGAGGCAAGACCATCTGCTGAGAATGAGGGGGTAGGAGGTGGCATTGGAGGCCAGGGATGGGGGTGAAGGTTTGGAATAGCTGCTCTGTGTGTTGGAAAGGGAGCTGACCAGGGCTCGGGAGCAGGGTTCCTGAGTGGCACCGGGCTTCCATCTGGAAACCCGAGTTTTCTGGAGCACCTGTCAGTGGCTACGCAACAGCCATGGTTGGGAGTGAACTGGGAGTGAATTGGGAGTCTCGGAGCATCCCTGGGTGTCCTGAGACCCGGCAGCCACTCCTGTGTCAGGGAGGAACCTGCCTCTCCCCAGCAGTGCCATCAGGACCCACTTGGGCTGGAAGGACAGCTGACACCGTTTCTCTACGCAGAGCCTCGCTGACTCCCTAAGTGATGGCTGCCGGCAGGTCAATAGCAATAATAGCGCTAATAAAGATTTGGCATCTTACTCCTGGAGATAAGCATCAGATGGTTTCCTTGGGAAGTACGGCCTGGCAGCCGAGTGCGGAGTACAGAGGGGCTCGTGAACAGTGCCTGAGGCCGAGGTCACCACCTCCATGCACCGTCAGCCTTAACAGCATCACCGATGGTGCTGCCTTGTCGCTGGGCTTGGTCTCCGGTGGAAAACATCCTCCCTGGCTTAGCCTTCTCTGTAAAACGAAGATAGAGCCTAACTGGAAAGCTCATTTCGTTTGATATTTGAAATGAGTCTTATAATTTTGTTCCTGAGTTCTGACCTGGAATAGTACCTTGGGTTTAGGAATGAAAACCCCAGAGAGGTTCTTGTGTGTGTTAGTGGGAGAAGAGTGATTTCAAGGGGGGCATTAGGGCCACCTTAGCCACCAGCAGCTTGGAGACAGGGTGAGGAAAAGCGTAGCTTTCTGGTGCTTCCTTTTATGACATCTCCAGGTACTTTGCATCCTCATGCCTCACTCCCACTGCCCGCTGTTGTCCCTCTTTCTTCTCCAACTCTGTGATGCCCCCCAGCATTGTCTTGAGAGGAAGATAATCTGACTAGAGTAATTCATACTAAGGAGAGAGTGACTAATAGGTGTAACCTTTGAATATTTGCAGTTGAAGAGGTGAGCTGCTAAATTCAAATACATATCTGCTGTAAAGACAGGTCTGGGGGTGAGGCTTTTGAGAGTGAGGAGGTGGGGGACTGCTACTGGTTCTATCAGTTAAGATGCTTTAGGCTGCAGGTACCAGAAAAATCCAACTAAAAGCAGGGTAAATAATAGTAACCTATATTATGTCACATTTTAAGACACCTAGAAGTAGTGTTGACTGTTCCAAGGTTGACTGATCCAGCACTTCACTGTGGTTTCTAGGGACCCAGGTTCCTTTTGTCTTCTACTCTGGCTTGCCCTTCTGGGTAGTGCTCCTCATGGAACCAAAACAGCTGCGGCAGTTCCTGCTGTGACAGGTAGATGACATCCAGTGCCAAAGAGGGCCTGTTTCTTCCCTCATATTCCTTATCAAAAAGGAGCCCCTCAATAGCATTTCCTTCATTTCTCATTGGCCAAAAGTAGGCCACATGCCCAAGTCTAGATCAGTCTCGGTGAGAGACATGAGACTGATCATGATTCACCTTCTTAGGTTAAGGCCTGCCTTCCTCGAAGGACACGAAAGATGCACAGAATTGGGGTTTTGTTAGCCCAGGAAGGTGAGGGAAATGGCTTTTGGGTTGGCACCTACTAGCACATGC